GTTCGTGCATCGCGGTTTCGTTCGATTGACCAGCCGAGGATGTACTTCACCTCCCCTAAATCTGTCATGGAGAAACGTTCGTTCAAGGCAGATTTGATTTGACATACGAGGTTGACAGTTGGTGCAATGATCAGTAAGTCATCAACATAGACTGCAATGTAACATGTCTCGCCTTCGAAAGCCGCCATGAATACGCACCGATCTTTAATCAGTCTGTGGAATCCAGGGCTTTCCAAAAACGTGGACAAGGTGTGATACCAGATACGGGGTGCCTGTTTGAGACCGTAAAGGCTTTTGAGGAGCTTGCAAACGAGGCCTTCCTTACCAGGAACTACAAACCCTTCTGGTTGTTTCATATAGATTTCCTCGTCGAGGGTTCCGTTGAGAAACGCTGTCTTGACATCCATCTGGTGAATTTCAAAGTCAAGCAGAGCTGCAATCACTAGTAGCAGGCGTAGGACTTCCATGCGGATGACAGGGGCAAATATCTCATTGTAATCGACTCCATATTGCTGTAAAAAACCTTTGATAACTAACCGTGCTTTAAAGCGATCGATTTCTCCAGAGCCAGTGTATTTAACAACAAAGACCCACCGATTTTGGAGTACTTTGCGGTTTTTGGGAGGAGTTACCAGGATCCACGTCTGGTTTTTCATTAGTGACTGGTATTCCGAGTCAGCAGCTGCATGCCATTTGTCTGCATACGATGAACGCATCGCCCCGTAATATGTTTTTGGTTCCGGCACATGGCGAATCGCAAGGAGACTGAGGACTAGAGACATGCGTTCTTCCTCTTCCTGAACGTCTTCGCGGGAATTTAACTGGCTAAGGTTGATTTCTTCCTCATACCGAGGGCGTTTTACACCTGTCCTCGAAGGTTGAGAGGGTGTTTCCGTAACGAAAGAGTATGTCAAGACGCCACGTTCCAGTGCCTCCCCAAGGGAAGGAAGTTGGTTCGAAGTGGTAACACATGCATGTTGTGGTTCTACAACTAAGTCACCCGGAGATTCAGGCTGAGATGGATTGGTTGGTGTTTCCAAAGGAACACATGCTGGAAGTTCAACGTCAGTAATGGGGGCTTCTGTTAAGTGATCCGGCAGCTGAAGCGGGCCTGAAGTGACCTCAATATTTTCAACAGTAGGAAAGTCAATCTCATTGAAAACCACGTCGCGACTGTAAACGACACTATGGGTTTTTACGTCCATGAGTCGGTATCCTTTCTTGTGCTCAGGAATTCCAAGATAGATGCAGAGTTTTGCTCTGGGATCAAGTTTGTCCCTGTATATGTCGTTGACATGGACATACGCAGCACAGCCAAACACTTTCAGATACTGAACAGTTGGTTTTCGATTGTACCACAACTCAAACGGTGTGCAATCCTGTGTGTTAGCGCTTGGTGTCATGTTGAGGAGTGTCGTAACATGTGAAACACATTCTGCCCACAGTTGTTTGGGTAGCGAGGCATCTAGCAGTAGCGCACGGACACGTTCCATGATTGTGCGCATGCGGCGTTCTGCAACACCATTCTGTTGTGGTGTATAAGCATTGGTAAATTGAGCGTGCGTCCCATATTTAGAGAAGATAATGCGTCCCAGTTTCTCGTACTCTTTAGCATTGTCAGCCTGTAACGCCTGGATGTCCACATCCGGCGGTGGCAGGAGATATTCAAGAGTATGAATATCACTTCGGAAAATATTCAAAGCTTTCATGCGAAAGTCTGTGTAGCATGAATAGAGCTCGCTACGTGCCTTCATCGGATAGGTAAACATGTAGCGACTGAAGTCGTCAATGAATACTACGAAGTAGCGACATCCGCCAAGACTAGGGACGGGAAGTGGGCCACAAATATCAGAGTGAATTTTATGCAAGGGGCTAGTAGAGCGTTCAACATGTCTATTGGATGGGAAAGGAGCGCGGTGTGACTTCGCGTAAGTACATGCAGTGCAAAAGAAAGAATCTGGTCTTACTACAGCCGGTGCATCCAGTCCATGAAGAGCTTGGTCTTTAGTGAGTGCCTGCAAAACACGGATGTTAGGATGGCCAAGACGTTTGTGCAATAGCATGAGTCGGGTTGGCTTACCTGTGGTAGCCACGTGAGCTTCGGCCTTTGTCAGCGGAGAGGCTTCGAATTGATAGAGCTTCGACGTTGCGGATTTCATCGCCTTGATAGAGAAGCGTTGGTTGGTTTGGACAGTACACAGAGTACGCTTGAAGCCAAAACGGAAGTCATCGTCGACAGCGGCAGCGACCGACAGCAGGTTATACTGTAGTTTCGGCGCTAGGAGGACATCGTGCAGCGTAAGCGTCCGCGGTTGGCCCTTGCTGTCGGTGATCTGAAGCTCCACAGTACCAATAGCTTCGATGGGGACCTGCGATTTTCCACCAACAGTGATGCCTCCGCTTGCAGGTGTTTTAGTCTTGAACCAGTCCTCATGTTGAGTAACGTGACTGCTGCAACCGGAGTCGATCGTCCAGCTGGAATCAAAGTCCTGGCTAGGTTGCGCCGTGAGGCTAATAGCGGATGGAGCTGTTTGCACATCCGATACAACAGCAATTAGGGTCTCTTTGCGGCGTGACTGATCGTAGCCACCTTCATCGCGACGAGAGGATTTGTTGTTGTTGTTGCTGTTGCCGTTGTTGTTGCCGTTGTTGTTGTTGCGATTGCCACCATAGTTACCGCGGCCACGACCACCGCCACGACCACCGCCACGACCACCTCGGCCAACTTGATGCCATGACCCACCACCCCCAGATCGCCCTTGGTTGCTGTTGTTGTTGCTGTAAGGATGCGACCGGTAGTTGTTAGGTCCACGTAGCTCAAAGTTAGCAGGGAGAACAGTGCCAGCCTTAACGCAGCCATCACGTAAGTCCTTCTGTAGAGCACGGCACTGACGGATGTTGTGACGTGGTTTCTGACAGTAGCTGCAGACATCAATAGGGACGGTCGCTTGAGCTGCCAACGCAGAATCCTGAGAAGGAGCAATGAGAGCCCGTTCAGCCTGAGTTGATTGACTCTCAGGTGTCCCTTTGATACGGCTGTAACGTTCTTGAGCCTGGATTTCGCGAACCTTGGTCTCAATACTCATCTTGAGTTCGTCATACGGGATATACTTCCGCACACCTTTCCAAACTCGGAGATCGTCCTTCTAAGTCTTCGGCATCGAGTGGAACAGGTACAGTGATTTCTGCCCGTCAGTCAAGGGAGACTCGGTTGCTTCAGACGCGGCTTTCATCGCGTTTTCCAGCTCAAGGAAGAAGCTAGTCAGATCACCACCTTCTTCGTACTTGATCTCCATAAGGAAATGCTGGATGAAGTAGGGGTCGCCATGAAAGGCCGCACCCTCATACTTGGTACAGATGGCCTGGAAGATGTCGAAGGCCGTTGACAGATTCTTGACAAGACGGATATGAGTATCATCCATCGTCTTCATCAGGAACGCCTTGGTTTGTGCCTCCATACGGCGAAGGTGACGAGCAGATGGTAGAGACGTCTTACGCCGCGTAACTTGCTCCCGATCACGGCTGACGTGGCGTTCCGCAAATCGCCGAACTGTTGGTAGATCAGCACGCTTCGTTTTCTTGGACGATGGAGTATCGTCGTCGTCGCGGGGCTGCAGCTCATCCGAGCTGTCCTCGAAGTCGACCTCATCCGAGTCAATACCAGCCGGAGAGCTGGGCTTGGAGGGATCGTCGTCGTCGTCCGACTCAGCCAAGTCGTCGTCGGAGTCGTCATCTTCGTCTTCACTGACCCCATTGTAGTCCTTCTTGGTGACGAAACCGAGCAGATGCTTGCCATCGAGTGACGCACTGACTCGGGCCTTCCACACGTCGAAATTTTTGGCGCCAGAGAGGCGGGGGAAGTCGTCACCGGAGGCTTGCTGAGGGCTCATGACCTGTTGCGGGTAACTTGGGCGCAGGTAGAAGGAAGTCAGGGTAGGAAGGAGTAAAAGAAGAAGTAAGATTAATGTTTAAGAAAGTAGCGGGCTACTAACAAGAAATTAGTATGCGGCATTCAGAAACATAGTCTAGAATTGCCGCTACCATTCATCGTACTAAAATGTTCAAGACATTTTAGTACATTATTTATTAGAGTCAAAAATACCGTGTCTCTTCAATATTAGTTTATAGAGAGCACGATGGGAGAGGCGGTCCCTGTGACGGGCCCTAACCTCAACAGTTGTCGTAATTTACGACAACAAAGCAGTCATCGACCTCTGGGCAACATGTATTACACTGTAATAGCGATTACAGTGTAATACATGTAACCCAGAGGCTCTGTCAGAGCCGGCGGCGTTTGGGTACGGGAGGGGATGCGGCGACCGTCGCTCGAAGAACCTAGTGGTGGCCTGAGGATGATAGTAGCACTAGGGCACAATCCACGGCCACATCCGAACCCTCTGCGTCAAGCCTTGGCTCAAGGTGACCAACGCACTATGTGCGTCGCACATTCGGCGGTGGATTCTCCGCTGGCTTGCTTGGAGAGTGCTAGTGCCGCGGGGCGAGGGACCATCGTACAGACTCGGACGAAATCAGGGAAGCGTGATGCCGTGTGGGACCAAAATGTTAAGGCCACGGGCTCTTCTGTTCAGCGTTGAGTGCAAGTTGAAGCGGTCTACTCTCAGTGGGGCCGCCATCGCCGCCAGTGTATGGAGATTCATGTGCAACCCCATCCAGTCAGTGACGACCGGCACGGGCGAGTCAGCAGCGCCCGAGGATGGGATCGTCGCCGCGAGAACACGCCAGAGTGGCGCAGCGTGTGTCAGCGTTGAACGCGGTGTAGCCAGAGTCAAGTGTGCGAGTGACCATCGCGAAGCCCACCGAACGGACGCGGGCTCTCAGGTTTGAATTTGCGTCGCCCAGAGCAAGCCGCTTGAACTGACAGCCCAAGTCTCCTCTATCCCATCGCCATGCAGAGCACTAGCCCCAATAACTATAGCCAGCCCATCGACGACAACGCTGCGCCGCGCGAGGTGGCGCCATTTCTCAAGAGCCTTCGTCGAATGCTGTTGGACGAGAGCGACACTGTGCTGCGATGGACGCCCGACGGCCGCGCCTTTGAGATCCACGACATGCAGGAGATGACGGCTCGCGTACTTCCCAAGTACTTCAAGCACTGCAAGTACACGAGCTTCCAGCGCCAGCTCAACTACTTCAACTTCCGCAAGTGGACCAAGTCCAAGGCTGTCGTCTGCACCTTCTCCAATGATTTCTTCCTGCGCGACCAGCCTGAGCTTGCATGGAGAATCACGCGCAAGAAGTCTCTCAGCCCGCATGTGCTGCCCAAGTACCGACCCACGGCTGCTGCCCGTGCATCTGTCATGCCCTACTGGAAGAAGGAACCTCTTTCCGCTCCACACCCTATGAGCTTTGAGAACATGCTAAACGGTGACAGTCGATGTCGCATGCCCTACCCGGCAGTGGGCAACGACCTCATGCTCAAACAGCACGAAATTCGCCACCCACAGCAGACGCATATGAGCCGGCGCTACTACAGCTTCAACATGACTGCACCGCCGTCGGAGCCGTACACAACTACGAGAAGCTACGACCTCCCGAATGGAGAGCAGACTGAGCCACTCGACTGGATTGACTGTCTGCTACCGCCGACGGACGACTCGTACATGTGTATGTACCCGCCAGCAGTGCCCTTCACTATGAACAGTGTCAACATGCGCAAGAGCTTCGAGTTCGTGCCCTCCGCTACTCTGTGAAACTTTGCAGCACTGTATGTGTATAGTCTCTATGCCGAGGAGCGGAGGCCAAAATTTGCAACGTAGCAGCCGCACGTCCGTAACCAAGACATCGAAATACTTGTACCTACCCATCGACCCATTGCTGCGGGAGAAAGGTTTAGCAGGATCAACATGTCCTTGCTGGTCTCTTCACTGCATAACACCGCTAACTCCATTTATTCTTCAACGTCTCTAGACACACTGTCTGGGTTGATCTTAGCTTCACATGATCGTCTCTCTTCGCAATTTTATTTCCATGTTATCATCTGAGTCCACGGACAGTCGACGAATGTGTGCAGCTGCAGGCTAGGAACGTGTTGGTCAACGCTGCAACCGGGTGGTGTCTGACACCCGCACAAAGGCCTTCACGAGTTCGCGATAGCCCTGCGCCATGTCAGCAGTGGCTCGTGTGCTTTGCTCCAGTGAGCGCGCGATGGCCAACAGCACGCTGCGCTGTTCAGCCAAAACCAATGACGGCGTCTCCGTGTTGCCTTGCGTCAACTGGTCCTCTAGCTCTCTGCACTTAGCTGTTTGCTGCTGGAAAATCTGAATCAGATCCTGGAAGCCACGTGCCATACCCGCAGCCGCCACCGAACTCTGTTCCACGGACCTGGCCAACGAGCGACTGTCGTTGTAGTCACCTCCAGCATCGTCGCTCGCGGTCGTAGCACTGCTGCCTTGCACCTGTTCGTGCTCTCGTGTCGAGTCTCGCCTGATCCGAGAATGGACATCATCTTCTCTCTCATCATCGCTGCGTTTCCGCTTGTGACGCGGAGGAGGGACCACGGCCACCTCCGACGGTGTTGATACCGACGTAGCAGTATGAAACGCTTCAGAGTTCCCAGACCCCACCTCCTCCTGCTGCTGCTGTTGCTTAGTCCCTTCATCTTTTGACCCCTTCTCCTTCAATCGCCTGTTCACGGACTGCTCTTGCGAATGGTCTGGTCCGCCGTCGCCCACGACCTTCTTCATGTGGGCCTCGAAGACCCAAGGCAGTTTGCTCTTAAACTTGTGGCACTTGGGCCGCAGTCGTTTGGCATTTTGCCACCATTCCTCGCTCATCTCTGTGCCGCTCGCTTGAAAGCCTGGCTGGGAACTCAGCCACTTATACTCGGCGTACTCGCCGCGTAGGTTTTTAAATTTAACCGCCACTTGGCTTTCCGTCCATGGTTGCTCGCGCGGGAAGCTCCGGTTCAGCGACGCTGTCAGGTGCTCGCGCGCGCTCTGCGTGAGCAACACGCCGTTTTTCGATTTGTTGTCTGAGTCGGCGCGCAACGCCGCGTCTAGCTCTAGCAGCCTCAGTATCTCTGCCTCGAGAAACAACACCATCGTAATTAGGGATGGTTTTGGACTAATTTAAAACTGTCTAATATACTTCCAGAAAACGTCCGAAATTCCATTCAAAATTCCAAACTATCTAAAACTAACAGACAGAATATTCTCATTTGAGGGTCATTGAGCAGCATTGCGGCACTACTGCACTGCCAGTGCCAGCACAAGCTAGGATACTGCACGATACGTCGGCGCATTGCTCACTGCCCGACCTGGCAGTAGCTGCAAGTCTCGAGCTCATGCAAGAAGCCTAAGAGAAGGCCAACCGGGACCGCAGCCTCACACAGCTCTAGTTCTTGGAACTGCCGAAGTACGTTACCTCTTTTTTGCCTATGTATACGATATAGTGCGTGACTGACTTCCCATTTGTGTTGTTCTAGTCAATATCTGTGATGCGCCTGTCAAAGCTGTGGACATGTTAATGCAGGGGAATATGCAGCCAGTGGCCCCGAAGGATGCGAATGAACCGATTCCTTTACACGGAGGAAATTCGCGATGCCTTCATGAAACAATTCGCTCTGGTAAGTTGCTTATTTATCTGACACCTAGTCACAAGAAACTCTACCTCACCGATTTCATAAAGATTATCTTACGTGTCAGTTGCCTGCATTATCCGCCCAATACGCAGACGGTGGCTGATGCCGTTCGTAGTCTTCAGGCGCTGCCGCTCAACCACGACGCATTAGTGATACAATTTTGCGAGGTGGGCTCTATTCAAAGACCGTCTAGAGGGAGGTTGGGCATGCTTGTTTGTGCTGCAAATTAAAGAATGACTTATGGGTTTTTAGCTACAGATTTAAGTCATAAGAGCGCGTTGTATTTAATTGAGGATATCTACACTTTCAGGACACGATTGATGCCTTGCAAGGTTGATGTCATCACTTTGAATTGTGCCATAGTTGATGTAGATATAGGCAAGCCTTTCAACTTTTTCAACTGATAGCCTGTTCCTTCGCTTGGAGTGAATGTGGTCGAATATACTCCAGGCCCTCTCACTGGCTGCTGACGACGTAGGAACCGCAAATACCATTTGAGCTACCTTTTTGAGAAGAGGGTAGCTCTTTTCGTCCTTGGCACCCCAATAATCACGTGGAGATGCTTCTAAATACTTCATTCGTAGATCTTCACCACCCCTCCGCTTCATGCATTTAAATTTGAGAATCTTGGCGGTCAATTTGGCCATATTCGCAGGAGTTATCAGGCCGCATCGTGGCCGCAGTAATTGCACCGCCTGTGTTTCTTTCCATTCTCACGCTCAATAGTATAGTGATTCCAGGTTTCATCACGCGGGCGTCCGACCTTCAGTGGAGACACTCGAAAACGACGAGATGACCCTGGAGTACGAGGCGATCGCGCGGGATTAAGAGAAGTCCTGGGCGACCGAAACGAAGCGTGAGGAGGCCTGGGCGATCGTGTAGGAGTAGAAGCACGTGGAGGACGCGATGGTGTTGCTGAGCGAGGTACTTCCGCCACGGTTGGCATAGGGGGGGATCGCGCTGGTGCTGGTGTCGGAAGGGGTCGAGATGGAGGTGGCGAGTGAGGTGGAGGCGAGAACATCACCCTACGCGAGCCTGTTGCCGGCGACGTAAGATCCTCTGGCGGGCTTAGCGGAGAGGAACCTCTTTGGTAAGGGCTGTAGCGAAGCGTCCTCCATAGTGCCGAGCTGGGGGGCGAGCGGAACCTTCCGAAATCTGCGTGTAGATCGCGGGGAGTATCCCCAGATGATCTTTGCTGTATGTTCTCCCATTGTGGCGGCCCGCTGCCAGTATCTTCCTCCCTTGTCGCCATGAGCAGAGCCGAATCCTCTCTTTCGCCCGGGTACCTTTGGGATTCTATATGAATTTTGGAATTTTGGATACTTCTAAACTGTTTAAAACGTTTTTGTGTATTTTAAACTTTTTTACTCTTCAAATCTGAAACCATCTCTAATCGTAATTAGTGGTGTAATAATCTGAAAAAAACACGTGAGTCTGATCGAAGTGACAAAATTTGACATTTGACAGTAATATTGAAGACCCGGGGCCAGGTCATCTGGACCTACCGGTAGCAGGTGCCCGGGGGATTCGCATTTCTATGCTCGCGCAGTACTTCCTGGTCCAAGTTCTCAGCACAGTATGGTTGATGATGATGAAAGGTGATCCTTTGTTTTTGGAGTTTACACTTAATTTCTTAAAGAAGCCTTATAGATATTTGTGACGGGGTCACAAAGCACCTTGCGCTTGAGGAAGTCGGCTCCCGAGAGCTTATACACTCTCAGTGAACAGTAGCTCTCTGGATATTCATATCCAGAGTTTTAGAAACCGTCGATGATCCCCTATAAATAATTAGGGTGCTACATTTGTAATTATTAAAAGTATAGTGGCTTGCAAGTGATAGGCTAAAAGGACGGAATACCTAATAAACTACGGTAAAGCATAAAAAGCACTGGTGAATGTCGTTCCAAGCCGCCTGGGTCAACATTCACGCTATCTGGTTTTAGGTGGATGTTGCTCCAATATACGATACCACCGATGGTGGGTGGTACAGTACATGAAGGCTACATGATTTAAAGAAGGGAATAGATGAATACTTATAGGATTCCTATCGAGGCCGTCTCGCGTCAAGACAGCAAGGTCGGACGACAGCGCACGTTCGACCGCGGCTTCTTCATTTTGGCTAAGCTGTATCCTCATACACATCAACCTTACGACGTAACGCGTAAGTAAGCCCCCCTTCCTCTCTCACACACACACACACATCACACACATCAGAGGAAGAAAACAAATTACCACGTCGGGTATTTCAAAGGGAGGACTGACAGTAGAGAAAATGATTCTTGCTCCGCTTCGTCATCCGACTCGCAGGATTCCTCAGCGTTCATCTTTCTATGTCGCCGTCACTCGAGTGAAAACGTTATCGCAGTTGTATCTCATGGCCCCCCTTACGAAAGCGTTTTAGGAGTATTTTGCTCCAAGTCGTGATGCGCTGGCAGAAACCCAAAGACCTCATGCAATTGAGGATCGAACAGATTAAGAAACCATAATGCTGTGGAAAAATTGCTACAGGTCTTCTTTAAAATACAGTACTTTCTTAAGTTAGGGTACCAGCTTGTTTTCAAGTTTTTGAAGTTTGGGGATAGCCACTCAAATGAATGACTATCATTCTCGCTCGGTTTGTTAATGTCTTCTTCTAGACTGGAAGTCTTAGTTAAATCGCAATTCTTCTCCTTTTTTTCTTCTAAAAAGTCCTTCATTCCGCACTAGTTATTACTTTTTTAAAATACCGTAATATCCAGAGCTTCACCGGGCTTAGCACGGCATTAGTTCACAGGTCCCTTTTTTGGCGAAGGGAGAGAATTGGCCAGTTTTAGGATATTTGTAATCTCGATGTATTTATAGGAAGGGTGTATCCTTTGGTTACGGAGTATGCGGACGTGGTGAACAAACACCCACCGACCCAGCTCCCACCGGATCGAGGCGTACGGTGTAACGGGGTACGTAGCCCTAAGAGTACCCTGGTTACATGAAGTGTGACACGTCATTCTTCGGATATTTGGTACAAAGTACCAAGGTCGTCCAAAAGCCAACCATTGGTTGATGACATTATATTTCTATAGGTGACTTATAGTTTGTATTAAACCCAAGCTTTATCTACCTATAAATATACTCAGTTTACATTCCACCTTAATTAGGTCACTTCGCTCTCTTTTGAATAAAGAGGGGACCTGTGAACTGCCGTTCACTGAGAGTTTGTATACTCTCGGAAGCCAACTTCCTCTAGCGCAAGGTGCTGTGTGACCCCGTCACACTTGGTAGCACTCGTAGTCAATCCACGCCACTGCGGGTAGACTACCTGAACCTCTCCGAAGTTTGTTGCCATGGATAGGAACGACTTCTCCCATATGAACGACTCTCAGTTCGAGTCGGTTCGGAAGATGGCAGGCATCTTCGGGATGGAGGCCCTGCAGAGCCTGGGGGTGTCAACACCGGCCGAGCAGCTCGAGCGCGTCAATGCGTTTGACGCGTACGAGCAGGGCCTCATCGCGCATGTGCGGGAGAACCGGTAGGCTTCGGCGGCGGAAGAAAATCCGCCTCACCCGAAGCCAATACGGCTGAAGGTTAAGCCGTATGAAGGGAAGGAAGGCGAGAATCTTCACATCTGGGTCCGAGAAGTAGCGCTCGCGATGGACGCGGCTCTGATCTCGACCGAGCAACTTCGTGTTGCTTTTGCACTCTCCAACCTTAGCGGCCGTGCTAAGAGTTGGGTGTACACACGGGAAGCAACATCCCCTCGAGGTTTCACATCCTGGGCTCAGCTGTGTGAACAGCTTCGAGCCGCGTTCCTCCCGGCGAACTACGAGTACCGGCAGCGTTCGCGCTTCCTCTCGTGTAAACAAGGGAGGTGTGAACTGCACGAGTACGTGTAAGAGATACGGGAGCTCACGGCGTCCCTAGTAAGAAACCCACTCAACGAACACATCACGATGACTGTGTTCATGGACGGCCTTCGAGTGGGCCCCGCACGCACTTAGCTGTTCCGGGTGCAGTCAAGCACGCTTGAAGAGGCGATTCAAGTGGCTCTTCAAGAAGAGTATAGCCATCGCCAGGCGCGTACGCCGGCCTCAGCGTGGCCTGGGAGCTCCTTGTCGGCTCCCGGTCGAACAAGCCCCAAAACGGACCAGTTCCCATGGAGCTCGGGTCCGCCGAACAGCGTGACATCCGCTGCTTCGGCTGCGGGAAGATGGGCCACTTCAAGCATGACTGTCCCGCGGAAAGAATCCGCAGACGGTCCTTCCCCAAGCCCGTCCTCAAGGGTCGCTGGCAGAAGCCAGAATCCCGGGGACAGGGGAACGCCCGAGACCAGTAGGGGCGGGGCGCCCTACTGGGGAAGAACTAAGTCTTCGTGATGGGTGCGCGGGTGGCGCGTACCACGAAGACTTAGCCCCTGAGAGTCTTCGCACTCTCGAATCGGCGAAGAGCAGCGGCGGGTTGCTCGTAGTACACGGATGTGTACGGGGATACGATCATCCCTTTAGAATCTTTATCGATTCTGGAGCGTCGAAGAATTTCGCACGCCGCCAGACGGTTGCTCGTAACAGCAACAAGTTGTCCGATGCTTTGAGGGAAAGCAAGGGCAACGGGACGGTGTCAGTGCGACTGGCCGACGGGAAGGTCGTCACTGTCCCCAACGTCCAAGTGGATCTGGCCGTCAAGTTTGAAGACTTTGACAGCCTCGAACAGCTCACTGTTCTCGATATGGATCCATATGAAATGATCCTGGGCATGCCCTGGCTTGAGAAGCACGAGCCCTGGATCGACTGGCGAGGCAAGGCAATCGGTGCCAGCCGCCCTGCGCAGTCCGACAGAGCATTGGTGAGTCATGTTCCCACCTCTGTCAGGACCCGGGGCGCCCGCAAGGGTTGCCAGGGTACCAAAGCATCCGGCAGATGCTTGGGAGTCGTCGACGTATATGACGACTCCGAAGATGTTTTGATGGTGGCAGCGCCCAGAAGAGGCGCTGACCAAGTGGGTAACTTAGGTCCACAGGCGGGTAGCTTAGTTCCGCAGACAGCTGCAGCTGTCACGAGCACTGAGAACAGCGTGTTCAGAGTGGATTACAGAGTTCCACTCACGGTCGCCTAGACCTTAACTGAAGAGGAAGACGTCGGATACGCTTCCTGTGTGGGTAACAGAGTTCCACACACGGTCGCCCAGACCTTAACTGAAGGGGAAGACGTCGGATACGCTTCCTGTGTGGGTAACACAGTGCCACACGCGGTCGCCCAGACCTTAACTGAATAGGAAGGTGTTGAACACGCTTCCTGTGTGGGTACCAGAGTACCACACGAGGCCACGAGTGCCTCGGATGTCGTAGCGCCGACATCCCTAGACGTGGGCAGCAAAGCTCCACGTCACGGTCGCCGTCGTCAACGACGCCGCCGCCGCCTCAAGTCGGATCCGAACTTCGTTCAGATCGACGTCGCTTCAAGCGACTCGGAGTCCAGGGCCCGGGCTCCTCCGACAAGGCCGGTGGAAGAGTGTTATCACATCTTCGATGGCGAGACCGGTTTACCCGCCAAGGCATCTGGTGTCCACTTGGAACCGTTGCCAGAGGTTGCAGAGATACTGAACCTCGAGGAAATGACGGTCGAGTCTTTCCTGGCCA